GGTGGGGCGGGGGGGGGGTTGGGCGCTCGTGGCCAGGGCTGTCCTTCTCCTCCTCCTCCTCCTCCGCCTCCTCCCCCTCCTCCCCTCCTCCTCCTCCTCTTCCCCCTCCTTCTCCTCCTCTCATCCTCATCCTCCTCATCCTCATCCTCATCTCCTCCTCTTCCTCTCCTCCTCCTCCTCCTCCTCCTCCTCCTCCTCCTCCTCCTCCTCCTCCTCCTCCTCCTCCTCCTCCTCCTCCTCCTCCTCCTCCTCCTCTCTCTCTCTCCTCTCCTCTCTCTCTCTCTTCTCCTCCTTCTCCTCCTCCTCCTCCTCCTCCTCCTCGTCCTCCTCTCTCTCCTCTCCTCCTCCTCCTCCTCCTCCTCCTCCTCCTCCTCCTCCTCCTCCTCCTTCGAGCTTCGAGCTTCGAGCTTCGGATTGTTATGCTGCTGATGCTGCTGGTGCCCTCGACCCCTCCCCCTTGCCAACGCCCGCCAGGGGGAGGGGTAAACAAAAAGCAAAAGGTAAGGGGGGAGAAGAGGGGACGACCCACAAGACGTGGATGCACCTCGGGGGGCGGGAAGGAGGGGCGAGAGGGGCTGATAGCGCCTGTGCGCCACGCTGCGCTGGTGCTGAGGTGGCCCGAGCGTGGGCCCCAGCCCCCTGGGGCCTCGGCACGCCTCTCTTGGAGAAGGCTCGCCTCCCCCCCACCACCCAGCCAAGGTTCCAGAGGTGCGGAGGTCGGGGTGCCAGAAGCGTGGTGCGGCGCGGCGGCAGCGCAGCTGAGCGAAGTGCAGGTGGGGGACGGGTGGAGCGGGCGATGGCGCAGTGGGTGGACGAGGTGGGCGCGACAGTGCGGCATGCGGAGAAGGGAAAGTGCGAGAGGTGGAGCCTTCACCCTCCGAGGAGGGGGAATGAGAGTTCCCTCGGCGTGGCTCTTGGTGGCGGTGCGACCAAGGTGGTCCAGTGCCCGCCAGCTTGTGCCCACGGTGGTCTGTCCCACTTCCCTGCCCGCTCCGTGCTTGCTGGACGGGAGCCGTAGGTTGTGGGGGGCTAAATGTTCCTTAAACTCATCCTCCACCTCCACCTCCTCTTCCTCTTTTTAGCTGCCGCCACGGCTTGCAGGGCCGCGCAGCAAACTAGGCCATGAAATCACATCCTATGGTCTGTTACCTCCTCCCGACTGGGGTCCTCGGCCAGCGCCATGGGATCTCGAATTCTCTCTGCCATGGTCTACAACCCTCTCCATGCGTGTGGTGACCGTCTCAGTGACCTTATCTCGGAATTGGGTGCTTTCGATCTGGTGGGCCTTCCAGGCACGCAGCTTCGTGAGCACGATCGTGAAGGGTATCGGGTACAACGTCTAGGGGAGCGACTGGCTGTACATGCGGGATGGAGGGCAGGAGGTTTTGTGACACGTGCTGCGGGATGCTCTCTCCTGCTGCCCAAGGCCTGGACCCAACGTAACATACGAAAAATACTTGTGCCCCCTGGACCTCTGCAGGGTCGTGGTTTAGCTGTCGAGTTATCCAGAGGTGGTTTCTTGTACATGGTGATCGTTCTCTATTTCCCCCCGAGGCCCTCCAGAGCTTCACAGGTCAAACAGTATATCGCGCGCTGCGGGAAAATGAAGGAGTGGGTTCGTGAGTGTCTTCGGGGACTGCCCTCTAGAGTTCATCCTATTCTCATGGGGGACATCAACGACGGTCTGGGCACCAGTAAGGTCTCTGGGGACTGGGTCGACATTGGTACTCCTAGTGTTGGGCGCGTCCGAAGTAAAGAACACCATAGAGGAGGGGCAGGTGAGAGCTTTCGGGAATTCATGCACGAGTTCGGTTTATTTTCTCCGACGACAATCCGTTCATTTTGTCCGACATATTATGGCTCCAAAGGGGGGACGTCGATGATTGATCATGTCGCCCTGCCGCTCTACTGGATCGAACAAATAACGTGTGCTAGCCCAATACATCGACTTGGTAGGCGATTACAAGTAATCAAATGTGCTGAACCACGCGACCACATACCTGTACTTGTGAAAGTGAGGGTGCCCCATGTATCAATTGCTCACCAACGTGCTGTTGAACTCAGGCCTGATGGCAGGCCCATTGAGCAAGTCCAGTGGGATCGTGACAGGCTCACGCAGGCGATCCGAGGCGGCCCGCTGAGGGAGCAGTTCATGCGTAGCGTGGAGCCTTTGCTTGAGCAGGAATGGCCAAATATTGAACATGCATGTCTTGATCCCAATATTGTGCTCGACAGGTTTGATCGAATTCTTCGAACCGCTGGTGCTGCTGTATTCAAGAAGGGGCCTGCTGCAGGCTCGACTCGCTCGGCTCTTGCCCAACGGCGACTGGATCTTCTGGCTCGGCGACGGGATCTTCGGTCAAAGTTGGGGGAAGGCTTATCGAGTGAGGAGTCTGTTGCATGCTGTGAAGAACTAACTCGATTGACAAAGCAGTGTAAGGCCCTATACAAAGCAGATCAGCAACGACGGCGAGAACAACTTGTTGAGGAGATCTGGGCCTCTTGGCGAAGTCGTGACTTGGCCAGTGTCAATCGGCTTTCACTTCGACTCGCAGGTGGACGATATGGTAAAGCCAGACGGGACTTCAGTCGTCTCGATGGTATGCTTCCAACTGGTGATGAATGGTTCTCTCACTTATCTCAGGCCGGCTGTGATGGCGGGCTTCAAGCATCAAGAGTGTGTTGGGATGACATGGCAGCTTTGCAGCAGCTGTGGACTCGGCCTGCTCCTACCCCTGAGCAGTTTGATGAGCGAATGCAACAAGCGTGGGCAAAGTCTATTATTGATATGGAGCAGATTGAACGGTATTTTAAGCGTGCGTCCAAGCGGCGCAGTGTTCCTGGACGGTCTTTACCTTTAGAATTGTGGCTGCTCTCCATTCGTACGTCTGCTGAGCGCGAGAGCAACCAACCAGATTCTCGTCCAGGACTGGGTACTGATCGCACGATCACTGATGGAGTTTATTGTCGGAAGTGGTTGCATAACATATTTTGTATGACTCGTTTCTGGGGTATCGTTCCAGGTTTGTGGAACGTTAGCAAGTGCTTTGCTTTGCCCGAGGCAGCTGCGCCTGGACCGAAGGGAAAAAAGGTAGTGCACGGACTTGATCCTGTGGGAAAAGGGTTCTTCGAGGGCCTGATGCGCATCGGACCGAAATATACCAACTCTGACTGCGATCACGGTTTCTTGAGAGCCCGTCGTCGTGAGGATGCGATTGTCACCAACATGTGTTTCTCATGGCGCCTCTCTCAGGCAGGGTATTATTGGGTCGGCTCTCTGAAAGACCTCTCCAACGCCTTCGCGTCGTCAAAGTGGGAGGCGCTCGATCAGGCCACTCGTACCCTCGTGCAGCCCAGGGACCTGAATCTTTGTCGTCAGCGATTTCGACGAGCAGGATGTGTTTTGCCTGCTGCCGACGGTCCCCTTTTTCTTCGGCCTGGGTGCGGGTCCCTTCAGGGTGATCCGCATGCGGTTCGATCGTTCGTCCGCGTCTTCCGCCCAACAGTCGATAGATGGCTAGAACGCTGTGCGGAGGCCGACCCCGAGAGCGAGCAGCTCATGTGGTCCAGGATCCCCGAGGCCATGATCCCAGGGGCGCCCCAGGTGAACTTAGGTCTCCAGAAGTTCGCAGATGATCTCCTGAAGAAGCTGATTGTAGGCCCCCCCTTCAACTTAGATCGGTTCCTGAAGGCTCTCAGAGACAACGACGAGTTTTTGGATCAGGAGCTTGACAAGATAGGTTTGAAGAGGAACAAGAGTAAGCAGGAGGCGCTTCTACGGGTTCCCCGGAGCTCCAAGCGAGGCGCAGCTGCGGCCCTCAGAGGCCTTGAGACGCGTGTGACGGATGAGGTGCGGTACCTGGGGCCGTATCTGACCCCCGCTCAGAGCTTCAGCGTCGAGCTCGTGAAACGGATCAAAGCCATGAAAGGTGCGTTTTACAGGATGGGGCAGTTCTGGTTCCAGAAGGGGGTGCCGTACAGGTGGAAGAGATGTGTTTTGCTGTGTCACGTAGTCAACACAGCGCTTGCTGGTGTAGAAGCTTTTGTGCCTACGGCGTCCCAGTTGCAGACGTTGGAGCTTGCTGTCGGAGGTCTTGCCAGAAAAGCAATGCGTGGCGAGGCCAGCTGGGAGGAGGAGGACGGACGGAGAAGATGTCTTTCCACTCGTGAGGTGTATCAGTGGTGGCGCCTCTCTCCTCTTGCCAGCGAACTCCAGGTCCGTCGTCTGCGTTGGCTGCAGGCATGCGTGCGACGCCCAGGATCGCACAAGCAGATGCTGGCGGCTATCTTTGGCTCTCTCCT